ACTTCGCATTTCCAGGTGGGGAGCACGCGCGAGCCGCCATTCGGCTGTCAATCACCGGGTCCCGGCCAGTAATTACCCACCGGCGCCTGGTGATTACCGATCATCTCTGACGGGGAGGAAGACTGTTTTGTTTACAGTCTCTCTCCCTGTCAGCTCGGGCACACTGCTTGGGATGGCTGCGCACAGCACAGTCATCCTGAGCAGTGTGCTTACAGGGAAGCACCCCCTAGTAAACCACTCCCTGCATATAGTTAACCCTTTGATCACCTCTCATGTTAACCCCTTCCTGCCCAGTGCCATTAGTACAGTGTCAGTGCTTTTTTTTTAGCACTGATCACTGTATTGGTGTCACTGGGGATGTCAGTGACACCAAGTTAGTCCTCACCAGTGTCAGAATGTCCGCCGCAGTCCTGCTAAATGTTGCCAATCACCGCCATTACTAGTAGAAAAAAAAAAAATCCCTGTATCTATACTGCCATTTGTAAACTCTATAACTTTCACGTAAACCAATTAATTTACACGTATTGGGATTATTTTTAGCAAAGACATGTAGCAGAATACATTTTGGCCTAAATTTATGATGAAATTTGATTTTTTTAATTTTTTTTACTGGACATGTTTAATAGCAAAAAGTCCAAAATATATTTTTTTCTCAAAATTGTTGGTGTTTTTTGTTTTTCATAGCACGAAAAACAAAAACCGCACAGGCAATCAAATACCACTGAAAGAAAGCACAATTTGTGGGAAAAAAAGACATAAATTTCATTTGGGTGCAGTGCTGCATGACCACTCAATTGTCAGTTAAAGTAACGCAGCGCTGTAATGCAAAAAATGGCCTGGTCAGGAAGGAGGGTAAATCCTCGAGAGGGTAAGTGGTTAATCAGCCACAGAACCTGTGGAATTAATATGTGTTTGGTTTTAAATGGATGAGGTTCCAACCCTAGATTGAACTTGGATAGGATAAAGGGGTGTATTGGATGCCCAAGGGAAGCAAAATCTGAGAACAAACTTCCTGAACTATTCACAGATTCTCCTTTGAGACACACAATCTCTGTTGGAGTGCTAGGCAGCAATTCCAGGTGTAGTACCCCAGATAAACTCCTCTTCACCAGCAGTCTGGTAACTTTCCTTTCCTGAGCAGAGGATCTGGCTCCTGTTCCTTTCAATAAGGTGCACAGTCACCAGAAGGAGGCTAATCTGGTTTCCCACCAGAGTGCTCCATCATCTATCTGCCCAGGGAGTGTAGGTGTACTCACTCAGATCCTCTCCTGTACCGCTTGTGGAATGGCTGCTGCTTCCAGGCCTATCAGCTGGGCAGCCCCTTCCTTGTCATACAGGTGGTCCTCTCACAGGGGACCAGTGAGTCCTTAGCGTTCCTCCTCTCTGACTCCAGGCTTGCAGGCAGGCCCCATCCCAGCAGACCTCCTGGCAGCCCTCCTCCCTCTTCCTCACATCTTCCTCACTCCAGTCTTCCATCTGACTCCCTCCACACCTGCTACTGAGCAGCTTCCCCCCCAGATCCCCTTTATTCTTACTTTAGCCCAATCTCAATCCAGCAATGTGCACATGAGCCAAGGCTCTCTCCTCTCTCTCACTCCTCATTGGCTTAGATACAACAGCAGGAACCATTAGCTCCTGCTGCTGTCAGTCAAAACCCATGAGATGGGGGTGGGACCAAGCCGTGCTCTGTGTGTCTTATGGACACATAGGGCTTGCTCTGGAGTGAGTATGCACAGGTGTCCCATAGCTAGTGGCTAGCTGTGGGGGTACTCAGCAGGGGGAGGAGCCAGGAGCACCAGTGGGGACCCAAGAAGAGGAGGATCGGGGCTGCTCTGTTCAAAACTATTGCATAGAGCAGGTAAGTATAACATGTATATATATCACTTTAAGGGTTTCAATGTCTAAGAAAAAGAATTAGGAAAAATATACCTAAATCCACACGCCTGCTTCACACATTTTATTCTGAAGCTATATTATAAGTGGCAGATTTTTGTTGTAGGCTAATCTATTAACTAAGCTGTGAAATCTAAATTCTACTAAGCTTATCAGGTTTCAAAACACCACATGCTACTAAAGGATAAGTCACCTTTCTTAACTAAAATGACATGGGGAAAAAAAGATGGTTGCCTTTGAAGGCAACCACTGCAAACTATTGCTTTCTGTAGCTCTCAATGAGACTTCTGTACCTACCAATAGGTAGTTTGACCTATACTTTTTGAGCAAACTGGTCCTGCTTTCTCAGGTTTGAAGGGTGCTTTCCCAAGGCTGCATGTTTCAGCTCTTTTTATAGATGTTTGATAGGATTCAGATCAGGGTCCATCGAAGACCACTTTAGAATAGTCCAGTGTTTTGATCTTAGCCATTATTTGATGCTTTTAGCTGTGTGTTTTGGGTCATTATCCTTTTGGAGGACCCATATCGTGCGAGTGAGACAGCCCTTTCTGACACCAGGTAGTTCGTTTCGATCTAGAATTCCCTAGTTTTGAGATTTCCTTGTGCCCTGCACAGATTCACTGCCCCCCATGCCAGATGTGGCAAAGCAGCCCAAAACATGACCGAGTGTCCTCCATGTTTCACTGGAGGTATGGTGTTCTTTTCTTTAAGAGCTTTTTTATTTTCATTTGTGAACATAGAGTTGATGTGACTGGCCAAAAAGCTTCAGTTCTCATCTATCCATAGGACATTCTCCTAGAATGCATTTTAGCTTATCAATATGCATTTTAGCAAATTCAACTTTAGCTTTTTTATAGTTTCCTGTGATCCCCCTCGCTAAAATGAGATGGATGGTATGATCAGACCCTGATACCTTGACCTTGAAGTTCAGCTTGTGTCACGTACCTGATGGTAGAACCTGAGATGTAGAGGAGGGCCTACCTTGCTGCTCTGGCTCAGGGGCCCTGGTAAAGTGACAGGGAGCGCCGGAGCACAGAGGTGCACGAGTGCCTGATAGGACTTCCGTGGGAATGATGTGCGTTAGGAATGCAGGAGCTGCTGGAATGGTTTGGCAGCTGGCGCTCAGGCAGATGTGCAGGTGCAGGATACTGACAGGGTAAGCCGGTTAGGAACAGGATCAGCGTAAGCAAGGTCAGGCGGTCCAGGTCAGCAACAAGTGGGCAAGTAAGGCAGAATCAGCAGGCAGAAGAATAATCCAGAGGGCAGCCAGAGGTCGATGCAGGCGGTGTTCTAGCAGGTCAATGACAGATTGGATCAGCAATAGAAAAACAGGTAGCAGGAAACACAGATGCACAGGGGTGAAGACCAAACGGCATTGAAGAAAAGACCCAGTTCAGTTTAAATAGCCCGTCTGGCACCAAAGTGCCGTTGCGCATGCACACCTGCGCGTGACCACACATGCGCACTCACTGACCGACCGTGAGCAGAGCTGACAGGAGCCCTGCGCCCGTGTATATCTATGCGCCTTCCTTGACAGCTTGTCTCTTTTGGAAGTTTTTCTTGGCCCTTTGTCTGCCATTCTGCCTATCCTTATTTTTAAAATAGGGTCAATATTCCTCCTGCTGCCATGTTAGATGTGGTTTGCTGCACTCCCATGGACCTTAATCATCTTCATAATATTTGCAGCCATAGTCACAGGAACATCAACCTGCTTGGAGATGGTCTTACAGCCCTTATATTTGATAAGTTGGTTAATAATTTTCTTTCTGATCTCCTCAGACAACTTTCTCCTTTGCTTTCTCAGGTCCATGTTCAGTGTGATAAACACCATGTTATCTCACAGCAGAGGAACTACTTATCTCCATTTAAATAGGCTGATTACAAGAGGGAAGACGTGCAACTTATGTGCTTTCTTCTAACTCCTCAGAAATGTGGAAAATTTCTATTTATATTTCTTAGTTGAAACAATTATGACTTGTAGAAGGTTTAATGAAAATCCCTTATTTTTTCAAGTAATAATTTAGATAATATGTGATAAAATATAATTCATACAGTTGCTTACTTTTTTTTTGCCCTAAATAGTGTGATATACTATACATTTTGTAGTATACTTTTTTAACATTTACTTAGCTTTTAGTGTCATCCAGATTCTTCATAAAAATGATTCAATCTTTCAGCTTTAGTGTATAATTCTTCCTGTTATCCCATAAACCACTTCTTGTTCTGTTCTTTGTCCTCCACCCCCATTCTCCTGGATATACAATGGCTCTCTCCTCCCTCGCTTCCTTTACTCACATCCTGCCAAAATCACACAGCTGGGTCACTGTCCGCTCACAGGCACTGTAACAAAGCAAGGTGGAGTGGTACCTCTGCCACTGAGCCCAGGTATGGTGAATGTCCCCTCCTTCCTTACCCCTAGAGGGGAGACATGGAGAGGTGCTGTGGATCACTGAGTAGACTTTACCGCAGAATTTCTCTTCCCTGCTGTCATCTCGAAGACACAGAAAAACAAGTGAGTACAGAACAAAGAAATTGGAAGATCCTATTTTGGGCTATATGCAAACAAAACTTGTGGCTGTACGTTTGTATATTTGTACAAGAGCTGTTAGACACTGTCTATTATAACGGTTAGATGCAGTTATTATTGTGAAATGTTAAAGATCGTTCAGCACTGTTCATTTTAGAGGAAATATCATGAGAATGCCAAAGCAGGAAAGAACAGAGCCTTCCAAGATCCTAGTTTTTTTTAAACACTGTGCACAGGCTTAAAGTGACACTGAACAATATCTTTATTCTCCAAAAATAATCCGTACACATGCACTACGTAAAGTGTTACTAAACCCACAACAGTAAAATCAGTCTGTATATGCAGTAAAGGATGCTTATTATACTCACTGTGGAAGGGGTTAATCCTCTGCTCTAAAAACACTGTTTGATCCCATCTTCTCTGATCCTTCCCTTCTTCCAGTGTCCCCCTCTTATCTCCTGATATTATATATCGTCTGGAGTCACTCTGCACATGCTCAGTTTAGCTAAAGAGGTTTTTTTTTTTAGAGAGATAGAGTACATGTGATCAGCACAGGGACAATCAGCACTGTTCAGACAGGTCAGGGGTTCTGCATCCTCTTGGAGCAGAAAGAAAACTCCTACAAACTTTGACCAGTGCTCTGCTGGACACTGTTAGAAGTCACAAGACTGCTCTAACTGCTGATGAGAAAAGGTATTTAGCAGTTTATATTGCTATATTAATTGCATTGCCATGTTCCGTGTACTGTGGGAGACCAGATATAGTGAATGAAGGGTCCTGGGTTTAGTAACACTTTAATGGCCCTGTAACCTGTTTTTATATAAAATTGTTTCATACTGTATTTTTCTACTCCTTGTAATGTCCTGAGTTCCCAAATCTCTCCTTTTCGCCCGCACTTGGAACAAGCATTGCACATTGGTTGCGATCTTGTGCACTGCTGTACACACTACAACCCCGTAGTCCATCTCAGGAGCGACCAAGAAAGGGTGGCTATGTTCCTATAAACAGTAAGATCATGGAGAATGGATGTAACCGCCCTTTAACAGAAAGTCAGATCACAACTGCAAAAAAAAAGAAAAAAAAAGACATTTGGAGAATTGGATGCTGAAAGCAATTAAAATGTGTTAAGAATAAAGACTTGAATAGATTTTTTTTTATTTTAGAGTTTAGTGTCACTTTAAAAATGTGTTGACATACCACAATCTGCTAATGCTAGTTAAAGTGGTTGTAAAGTATAGTTTTTTATTTTTAAATAGCACATTATTCTTACTTGCTCTGTGCAAAAGAACTTCACAGAGTGTCCCCAAACCCCCTCTTCTCAGGTCCCCCACTGGCGCTACAGGCTCCTACTCTTCTTGGTGTGCTAACATAGGAAGCCGCTTCCTATAGTGGCTCACCTGCGGGTTTGATCCTGAGCTGCGCTGCCTGCGTCAGAAGACAAAGACAGAGCTGCTCAGCCCCACCTCCCTGCTCCTGTGTCACAGGATTTGACTGACAGCACCAGAAGCAAATGGCTCCCAATGCCTCATACAGCCTATGAGTGTGAAGAATCGCTAGAGATGGGCACAGCACTGGATCAAGTGAGGGCTTAGGTAAGTATACAGGAGTAAGAGGGCGATACTAATACCTAAATAGGGAGCACATTAGGGTAAAAATGTTAGGCTTTAAAAGAAAAGTATGGGATTTAGAAAAAAAAAACCAGTTACAGTATTGAGCAATCAAATGCCATGATCACTCAGTTCTCCCCCTCCGCTCTGAGCAGAGAGCCAAGATTGTCAGTCACCGGCTCTCTGCTCTGCTGTTCCAGCGCTCATTTTAGCACCAGGATCTGGAGGGGGCAGGAGGGGCTGGATCAGGCTGTCAGCGGATCGCTGAAAGGCTGAGTCAGCTGCCAGTCCAGGCTTCTGGATGGATCCCAACCATATGGTTGGGGTCTTTTCAGAGCCTGGACCAGCTCTGTGACGTCAGCCTGCAGCAAACTGCACTCCTGTGATCCATAGGAGAAAAAATGTTTTGGCTATACTTCTCTTTTAAAAACAATGTGTGATAAAAGTTGAAGCAAGTCAGATAAAGCCTGTCTCATTTCCTGGCTGGAAGACATCCAGTATCATCTGTCACTTTCCTCCCAAGCCTGGTTGTCCCTGGCCCTCCCCTTTCATTCATTGTATTTCAGTTCTTTCAGTCATGGAAACTCAGGATCATATGTAGACTTTACCATAGCTTCCTGTTTTCAGGATGTAGAGCACCCTGCTAACCCGTCCCACATGCTATGATCTGACTGCATTGATCTATGCATTGATATGCTATGATCTGCATAGAGAAGCAAAGAGACCTGGTAATGATGCCCCTGGGTTTAGAATAAGGTATGAAATTGAGACAAAATATTTTTATTTTAACATTTATATAGCATGCTAAATGAAGGGGAAAAGAAGAACCAGGAAAGGCAAATATAAGCAGATTATATTTCAAGTTTAACCTCTAATTCTCTATTTGTCCTGGTGACCACAGTCATCAGGTTTGAAAATTAGGAACAATTGAACATTTTGAGTTGTCACCAGAAGAGAGGATATATCTTCCAGTGAGGACAATTGTTACAGTGACAACTTTCTATAAGGGTACTTCCCTGACTTTAGAGAGACTTCCTCTCACTTCTTTTTGTGTCTGCAGTACAGGAAATGAAGGGAAATCTAGACAATAGTAAGTAAATGGCAACCAAAAAAAAAACAAAACCTATGATGGAATTTAACCATTCCTGTCTCTATTCAAAGCAAAAAAAAAAAGTTTTACCTTCACGTAAATTTCAAAAGATCCCACTTAATGAAATCTTTATTGCTGAAAGATATATCCATAGATCTTTAGGAGCTGCATTGTATGTTTTGTGATAGCGTTGATACTAAAGAAAAAGACAGATGCTGCGCTGTGAATTGAGTTGGTATTCCACATAGAATATCATGACCTATGAGATCATGCCAACGACTTTCCCATCTTTACGGGAGGGATGTGAGCAATGAGTGGAAAAAACATTTGTATTAATGGAAAACTTTTCTCAGAGAAACCGCAAGACTTCTAACTTCTCAATCTGCTAATGCTAGTTGTCTGCCTGTCAGTGCAGACCCTCTCTCTCCAATACTTTAAATTACTACCTAAGAACATGTATGAGGATAAGAAGTGCTTACACTCACCTAACTGCTGATATGTAAACGTGTTCCACGCTAGTGAGTCAGAAAGTACTAAACAGAATTCAGAGGTAATATAGGAACCCAGAAAATGGCATCTTCAGGAGTTCACGAACTTCATATATATTATCTCAAGAAGGTTTAAAGTAATAATAAAGCCAAAAGCAAACATTTATTTTACTGCAGCTTACCAATTCTTAGATGTAATGGCTGCATTCATGTTCTTTTTTTTTTAGGTGATCCAGCCAGTAAGTCTGTGGTTTTTCAAATAAACATGCTCTGCAGCAGAATGTTACAGAGATGAGACAAACCATTTGACACTAGTAAAGGTGCCTAAAATGATCAGCATTAATTTATGTAATTATTATTATTATACAGTATTTGTATAGCGCCAAAGGGTTTGCTCAGCGCTGTACAATAGCAAGGGGGACAGAACATGAGACAAGACAGAAACAATACAATACACGAGGGGTTCGAGGGCCCTGCTCTTTCGAGCTTACAATCTAGGAGGGAGGGGAAAGTGGTACAGGAGGAAATGGCTGTGGGGGATGGAGTGGTGGGAGGAGTGGAGGAGGTCAGTTGTTAGGTGAGGTTAGGGTAGGCTTCCCTAAAGAGGAGGGTTTTCAGGGTGCGCCTGAAGGTGAGGAGGGTAGGTGACAGTCGGATGGATTGGGGTAGGAAGTTCTGGAGAAATCCTGCAATCGGGCATGGGAGGAGGAGACCAGGGAGCTAGAGAGTAGGAGGTCCTGTGAGGAGCGAAGGGCACGGGTAGGGTGGTATTTGGGTATCGGGTCGGTTAGGTAGTTTGGGGCGGCGTTGTGAATGGCTTTGTAGGTCAGAGTTAGCAGTTTGAATTTGATGAGCTGGGCAATCGGGAGCCAGTAAAGGGATTGGCAGAGGGGGGTGGCGGATGAGAAAACTAAAGTGGTCGGCACATATAATGATTGGTAAGCTGCAATGTATTACATTTTTGGTTTTGGGTTTAATATTGCTTTAAACATCTTTCAGTTAATGCATTGTACCATTTTAGGTTAGCCTATCATCAGGAGAAAGAAAGATAAACTACTTAGTAAGTCCCACTAAACCAGGGTTTCTCAACCAGGGTTCCTACAAAGGTTGTTGAGTTCCATGAGCAATGAGCAATTTCTGTCTCTTAGATAAGTTTCCTCTGATGTTATTGATCTTTTTAGCTATCTATAAAGGGGATAATTCTTCCCAATGCCCATAAGTGTAAGGATCATTCTTCCCACTGAGCATCACACTAATGTATCATGAGTTGTAGATATAGTAATTTTAGCAAGGGTTCCCTGAGACTGGAAAGTTACTTCAAGGGTTCCCCTCCAAGGTTGGGAAAGCCTGCTCTAGACATAACCAATAGTTCTGATAAAGTCAGAAGAGCTCTAATGATCATACAGTAGTATGGGAGTGTTCATGTCTATATGGCCAGAATAAATCAAACCAAGTTTTTGATTTATAAATAGAGGTGGGCAGACTTCATAGTAACAGGAGACAGATGGTGGCCACAAGGCCAGGTGGGATCACCCTTGTTGTAAGTTTCCCATAATCGGCACTTCAGAGATATGCAACATAAGAACATCCTTTTAAATGTCCTCTTGTTAGAGTTGTGACTGACTAATGTCTCTTAAATAGAAACATACTTGGGATATCTAGCGTTCCTACTTGTTTCTTTAACGACACAGCATCCCATTTTGCCTCTGCTCCAAGATACTTATTCTCACTGAGAGGCTTCATTTGTGGCAGCCATCACACCTTTTGATATCACTAGGCATGAGCCAAACTGCCCTGGGTCTGTTTTGGGTAGGGTCCTGTGAACTTCAGGGAAGTTCAGATGCTGAACTGGAACCCAACGGGAGCCAAATCTGGGCTAATAGGTAAGGGGATGGAAAACAAATATATAGAATAGGGGGGCGGGCATTGCCATGGGGAATATCTACCAATGCAAAAAAAAAAAAAAATTAAAAATCCATTCAGCCACAAGCAGTGATTTTTTTAAATATTTGAATGAAACATTAAAATTGCCCAATTCCTTGAAATACTGTCCTAATCATGCCTGTGAAGGAGCTCATCTCTGTGATGTACAAAAAGTGCTGCAGCAGCACTGATATTTACAGAAGAAAAAAGTGTTTAAAATTGCTTACAAATGACATTCCTAGCTTTTTTTTTCTAAAAAAAAAAAAACACACAGACTCCTCCAATGGCTTGCTATGTATTTGGGGGACTTGAGGAACGGTCAGTGTGCTGTTTTTTTTTTTTTTTTTTCTGTAAATGTCACCTTTGCCATAGCACGTCTTACAGCAAGAATGAAAAAAATTACTAAAAACTGGAACACTCAGAATCTGGTGCAGCTGTGCATGGTAGCCAATCAGCTTCTAACTTAAAGTGGTTCTAAAGGCTGAAGGTTTTTTACCGCATGAAGGTAAAAAAGCTTTCTGTGTGTAGCAGCCCCCCTAATACTTACCTGAGCCCCCTCTCGATCCAGCGATGTCCACGAGAACTTCGGCTCTCTGGGGACTCTCACTCCTGATTGGTTGAGGCAGTAGGGGGAGCCATTGGTTCCTGCTGCTGTAAATCACAGCCAGTGCGCCAATCAGGAGAGAGAAGGAGCGGGGACGAGACATGGCTCTGAATGTGAATGGACACACAGAGCTGAGGCTCAGGAGCGTGCCTTCTTGGGTGCCACCAGAGTAAGCTGCTTGCTCTGGGGACATGCAGCAGGAGGTAGGGGCCAGAAGCACCAGTGGGGGACCTGAAAAGAGGAGGATTGGGGGCTGCTCTGCACAAAACCACTGCACAGAGCAGGTAAGTATAACATGTTTGTTATTTAAAGAAAAAGCAAGACTTTAAATTAAGCTTTGGTAATAAAATCTGGAAGCTGATTGGTTTCTGTGCAGAGCGGCACCAGATTTTGCTTTCTCCAGTTTTAGTAAATAACCCCTTTTCATCCGATATTCTCATCGTGTGTACAAGGCTTTAGACAAGTTAGATACCTGTTCACTATTTACCCCTCGATAAGTCAGTACTGGCTTCCTCCTCCCCCACACCCTCGCCCTATTTTTGTTGAAACCTCTTGTAAGTCTAGCCAACATATGCATACAAATTAATAGTACAGTCAGCAATGACAGCGTGCCCTGAGCATGATTCATGTTGTGTCTACACAGTCAACCACTCACTAAATTCTATGTGTGGTTGTTCCAACATTATCAGTCGCAGTTGTGTTGCAACATCTGTATACTTCTTCATTTAAACCCAATGTAATACAATTGTGAGTTCAGTGCCAGCTATATTCATTCTTTACTAAATGTGGAAAAGAAACAATTGTTCTTGCTTGCTTCCAGCCCCAGCCTGCAAATGTTAAAAACGTTTGAACCTTTCAGTTTCTGTAATCATTGGGGAAATATTTCCTCAGTTCTTGTGTGGTCACGGAGTCTGGACATGATCTAAATCTACTCAATGATGGCAGAGACTACTGTAAAACATCCTTCCAAAGTAGAGTAGGGAAGGGTGGGAACCTGTGTGAGGTTGTATTGTTGCCTGTGTTCCGGCTATGAAAATCTCCCCAATTCCTGTTTTGGTCACTAGGACAGGAAGTGAAGTAAAATCTCACCAACAGGGACAAAGACAACGCTAAACCTGACAGAGCTTATAAACCTTCCCCACTCTAAACAAAACCAAATAATATATTTTGGCCACAGTTGGCCTTTAAACTTCTTTTCTTTCCCCTTTTTTCAGCCAATTGTTTAAAATATCTTTATATTCTACATTTTCCTTTTTATTTCCATGAAATGCGTAATTTGAAATCAAGGTTGTATGCCAACATAATTTATTTTTTTACGACTTTCATAAGAATCCTTATAATATGCCAGTGCTAGTTTAGTACTGAGTGCCTTTTAATTGAAGAACTAAAGCAAAACTGAACCTCAGATGGTTTAAATTACTGGGAGGTTCAAAGCAAATATGTTTTTGTGTTTAAAAGGCTGAGTTAAAAAAAAAAGTCCCCTCTGATTTAGAGGAAGGTGATGCACAATGAGGAGTATACATAGTAATACTGAGGATGTCATATAGAGCAAAGGAAATGTGACGGGAAATCTGCCCATGATTCCTGCTTTGTACACATTCCTATGTCAACTAATATAAGATCCCTTCCCAATACATCTATTAAATGATTCTCAGATTACTCAGCAGCAGCTACAGTATTTTATTAAGGCACAATTTGAATGTTGTTGTTACATATTTGCACTTTTTTTGCCTTTAGACTTTAATAGGTAATATAATCACACCATTCATATTGTTTATATAAAAATTATTCCAAATCTTAATTACACATACACAAGGGTGTTGCTAGGATTGTGAAAGACCTAGAGAACCTGTGGGCACCCATTGAAAAAAAGAATAAAGCTGCACTGTGCCAATGGTGGATGTGGTCAAACTACGCTATGAGTGGGTGGGGCTTAAAGGGGTATGGTAAGAAAAAAAGAGTTCAGGACCCACACAAGTACAAGGGTTAGAAGAATTTACAATGCATCCAGAAAATATTCACAGCGCTTAACTTTTGCCACATTTTGTTATGTTACAGCCTTATTCCAAAATGGATTAAATTCATTTTTTCCTCCACATTCCACAAACAATACCCCATAATGACAACGTGAAAGAAGTACGTTTTGAAATCATTGCAATTTATTAAAAACAGAAAACGAAAAAAAAAAACACATGTACATAAGTATTTACAGCCTTTGCCGTGACACTCAAAATTGAGCTCTGGTGCATCCTGTTCCCACTGATCATCCTTGAGATGTTTCTACAACTTGATTGGAGTCCACCTGTGGGAAAAATGGTTGATTGGGCATGATTAGAAAAGGCATAATCCTGTCTACTGTATATAAGGTCCTGCAGTTAACAGTGCATGTCAGAGCACAAACCAAGCCATGAAGACCTCCAAGACAGGATTGTATCAAGACACAGATCTGGGGAAGGGTACAGAAATATTTCTGCAGCTTTGAAGGTCCCAATGAGCACAGTGGCCTCTATCATCCGTAAATGGGAGAAGTTTGGAACCACCAGGAATCTTCCTACAGCAGGCCGCCCAGCCAAAATGAGAGATCGAGGGAGAAGGGCCTTAGCCTGGGAGGTAACCAAGCACCCAATGGTCACTCTGAAAGAGCTCCAGCATTTCTCTGTGGAGAGAGGAGAACCTTCCAGAAGAACAACCATCTCTTCAGCAGTCCACCAATCAGGCCTGTATGGTAGAGTGGCCAGATGGAAGCCACTCTTCAGTAAAAGGCAAATGGCAGCCCACCTGGAGTTTGCCAAAAGGCACCTGAGGGACACTCAGACCATGAGAAACAAAACTCTCTGGTCTGATGAAACAATGATTGAACTCTTTGGCCTGAATGTCAAGTGTCATGTCTGGTGGAAACCAGGCACCGCTCACCACCTAGCCAATACCATCCCTACAGTGAAGCATGGTGGTGGCAGCATCATGCTGTGGGGATGTTTTTCAGTGGCAGGAACTGGGAGACTAGTCAGGATTGAAGGAAAGATGAATGCAGCAATGTACAGAGACGTCCTTGATGAAAACCTGTTCCAGAGAGCTCTGGACCTTA